CAACACATGTAATTCTGTCAGTGTCAAGCCAAGTTATTCTGTGTGAATCATTATCACGTTAGTTTGTGTGTGTTGTTAATTTTGTAGAACGCGGAATTCGCAATATGAAGGAGAGGAGTTGGAATTCGAGTGGGCAGGTTACATGTGGTTGTTCGAATAATGCAATCAAATAAATAGAAAACTGTTTACAATTGACTGAAATGTGATAACAAAGAATGAAAGGGAACATCTCAGTGTAGGGTATACCACCTCATCTTCACTTGAATCCGTATAAATTTAATTTTAATAAGTCCTTCAGTTAACTTTCGAACAATGACAGTGACTGATGAAACTAATTATTGAAGTAAAAATTACGCTTAGATGAGGTACTGGACTTGTTGTTCATGTATGAAGAAAATAATTTTCACATACAGACAATTTCATTTGCAGTTAAAACAGCTTCAATTCACCAATTTCAAATACTTTTCTGTGAAATTGTTTACTTTTATACAAAATAAAGTGACCAGAAATTCCAGTACAATATTTAAAAACACAGAGAATGTTAAAGTGGAAACTATTTCGATAACGTCGTCATCACACTCTGCAGTTACACATTCTTAATCGATGTGTCACTGTTGGAGAGACCAAGGAAAACGACTCAATATTTCAGCCAGAATATTTATCAGTGGCGAAGGAGAACGCTACAATCAATATTTCTTTTGATAGACTAGAGGCCTATGTTGTCAGTTCCATTTTAAATGTTTTGTGTGTTTGTGAAAACCTGCCCTCATCCAGCCACAGGGGTGGGGTCTGGGAAAGTATGATTAGGTCTATACGCAGACTGTTATTGTTGATAACTAGAGAGCAAACTTTAACCGATGAGACCTTAAGCACTTATTTGATTGAAGTTGAAAGGATATTGAACGATCGACCCTTAACTCCGGTCGTCCAAGATGCTAACCATCAACTAGCCTTGTCGCCAAACAGTCTGTTATTATTGAGAGAATGTGACGGAATAGTCAAAGAAGGTAGCATCAGAGATAAATATGACAAACGATGGAAACAGGTTAATCATCTAGCTAATGTGTTTTGGAAAAGGTGGTCAACAGAGTATTTACCGTCCTTACAAAAGCGTCAAAAATGGTTAGTTGAACACCGCAATTTTCAGAAAGGAGACGTAGTGATCGTGGCTTCGGACATATCGACCCGTGGAAAGTGGCCCTTAGGAGTAGTTGAAGATTGTGAAATAGATGACGACGGAAGAGTTAGGACAGTGATTGTTCGTACGAATGGTGGATTAGTCAGAAGAGATATACGTAAGGTATGCTTCCTTGAAGGTTCGAATTAGTTCCTCGTATTATCAATGTAGGTAGGTGGAGTAGGCGTACTGTTGTAAGTCATACTCCTTCCTGTAGTGTAATATGTCATATAATGAACCATGACCATAGGCATCAAGGTAGCTTGTGTGGTATGGAGGGATTTTGGAGGCCGGTGTAAGATCCTTTTTGAATGTTTTGTGTGTTTGTGAAAATCCCTCCATGCATATACTTGCACTTTGCTCCTATTGATCCCCTTAGTTGTACATTGTTAGTTTTTTCATTACATTTGAATTGTTAATATTTGTATTTTGTCATAGTTTTTATTTTATTACGCCTTCACTAAGTTTTTGTGCTTCTTCCCGAACTGCATCTACGTTGTTTTAGTTGACACTTGTTCTTGGCGGTAGCCATATTGATTTGCTCCTCCTTTTGTGTGTGTTCTATCCAGTCAGGATAGAATAACGTTCATTTGTTGTGGCTGGTAACTTTCCCTCATCGTTTATCAACTTCTTTATTTATTGTAATTTAGATTTGATTGATTGAACAATTATTGGTTGAATAGCTCGGTGGTAATATTTGTTTAGGTGACGATTTACATATAAATTTATGATGAATTATAGAACCGCTATTTACCCGATTACTTGTTTTGATTTCGACGGGAAAGGGCGCGTGTCTAACGTACCTGGAAGGCTATTCAGCAGTCCAAACCGTAATCCGGAGCGTCAAGAGAAGCGGTGTTGGCAATCCTAATTAAAAATCATGGAAGCCCTTATTAAGAAAATGTGCCTATTTCAGTGAAACGCCACTTCTGGTGAACTACAATTAACACATATTGATTAAGTCAACAAAAGACACCTATGAATTTGTCTTCTGTGGTTTAGTAGTTTTACTTTTGCCTTATCATGGTTTAACAAATATGAAGCTCCGTTCCATATTGATTTCTGCAGACTGGATGACGTTCCAGAAGTCAAAATAATTCTACGAAAACCTGGAGCAAAGGAACATGAACGCCGCAGAATCTCCATTCTGCCAAGGAACACATGGGACTTTAGTTGTGATGAAACAATGAAAACCCTCTCTCAATTATTTGGAGGACAGTCATCTATTTTAAAATATGTTAACAATGCATAAAGACAATGATATTACCAGGAGATGACTGTATGGAAAATGGGAGAACGGTGAACCGAGAATGCGAGAGCTTCAAGTTGTATTCCATGATGGAAGACCATTTTAAATGCTGTGTATTTGTCTGTAGCTCATATTCATCTGAGGATGATGATATTTGAATGAGAATACCTAGCAAACCTGAAAATCGTCCCAGCATTAACCTATAAGAAGTAACTAACGAATATCAAACATTAGCGAGTTTGAAACAAGATGCTTCGACGGTATAGGACGGTGGTCGGTTTACTCACGTTAGCACAGTCAAGTGGTGTCTAACAAGGCTGTCCACTATCTTCATTTTGAGCAATTTCTTCAGACATGTACCACAGGAAATAAAGATTTTGTCGACTGAATATTCAAGAATCAATCTCCCACTAGTAAAACTTAGAACACATGCATGAAATTGTCCAGTTTGGTTAAGGCGCTGATAAGATGCAGAGTCTGTCGGTATCACTGAACAATAATGTCAGGATGTTTGGGATGCCACCACCTGAAATAAAGACAGGTGGTGAAGTAGTCGAACAACTCGACAATTTCACTTACGTTGGAAGTTCGATCAACCCTGGCGTGTTGATGTTTGATGAAATCTCCACAAGGATTTAAATAGCTCGTTTGGCTTTTGTCAACTCGCGTCACCCATGGCGAAGGCGAGGTATCTGTGTATCAATTAAAGGACGAGTATATTGAGAGTAAGCTCGTTCTGTTCAACTTTACGGCTATGAAACGTGGCCATTAAGTGTAGAACATGCTCGTCAGCTACTGGTATGTGATTGCAGATTTCTTGAAAATATTGCTCACATCTTCTAGGGTCATCGAGTAAGTATTCGTTAGGTTAGACGCAGGTCATTAAGGAATGATGGTGAATCAGTTGATGAGATTTTGAGTCTACATCGACCGAGATGGTTTGGCTGCTTGTTACGCATGCACAACTACCAATTATCACTACACAGAATGCTCACTAGTGTTGGAGATGGATGGAAGAATGTTGGTAGCAGCCAAACCAAAACGTGGCGTCAGTTCATAAAGTCACTAACTTGTGACCTGAGCAACGTTGGTAGAGGCAGAATACTTGGTTTGGCTTCGCGCGACTATTGTAGCCCGTGGTTGGAGACTCTAGATGACGTGGCTCGGAACCTGTTACAGTGGTGTAGGTGTATTCACTCTCTGCTTTCCCCTAAACCTTCAGTTTATAATTGCTTTATACTTTTCTTTTTCTCAACTAATCCTTTCTTACTGTGTCATATACTTATATGCAATCTGTTCCTACATATTAATTTGTACATAAATTATTTTCATTTCGACGCTTCTGAATGTCTTATTCTATCACCTAACACAATACAAGAGTCAATCACTCATTAGCTTACGATAATTGTTTTAATATTGCCAACCAACGATAACAATTATCTTGAAAAGTTACTCTCGCTTCTAACGGCTTTTATTCGTACATAATTATGACAATGATGAAGATCCACAGCCCCATTAGATTATATGAGTGTTATTCTGTCCTCTGGGATAGATATATTTATTGAATAACTTTCATTATCTTTCTGGACAACGTATTGAGAGTGTGAATAAAGACATTATTCCGAATGGTGATAAGAGTTGTACAACTAAATTATCTAACATTGAAAACAATGCACAGTTGTATTTTAAGAAATCAAAGAGAAGGTACAGTTGGTCTGTACTATTTAACTAATTCTATACAAATTCCACACAGACTGTTAGTTAGAGGTCACTGAAAATGTCTACGTTTATGGTGTGATATTTATAAATAAATTCTGTTCTTTAAATTCTCATTAAATTTGAATACATATGTGTTGCGTTTGTTGATCCTTCACAATTTTGCGTGTCATGGAAGAGGTAGAATCCTTCACAAACCTGGTAAGCATCATCGATGTATAGGGAGGTTCAGATGCAGATGTAAAGGCAAGGATTGGCAAAGCAAGAGCCACATTCCTTCAATTGAAGAACACATGGAACTCAAAACAACTTTCAACCAATATCAAAGTGAGAATCTTCAATACGAACGTCAAGGCAGTTCTACTGTATGGAGCTCAAATTTGAGAACTACAACAACCACCATCAAGAAGGTACAAGTATTTATAAATGGTTGTTTACGCAAGGTAATCAACATTCATTGGCCAGATACCATCAGTAACAGCGTACTGTGGGAGAGAACAAACCAGCTTCCAGCTGAAGAGGAAATTAGGAAAAGATGATGGAAATGGATAGGACATACATTACACAAATAATCAAACTGCGTCACGAGGCAAGCCCTAACTTGGAATCGTGAAGGGAAACGGAAAAGACGAAGGCCAAGAACATATTACGTCAAGAATTAGAAGCAGATATGGAAAGGATGAATAAGAACTGGAAGGAGTTGGAAAGGATTGCCCACGACAGGGTTAGATGGGGAATGCTGGTGGGCGGCCTATGCCCCTTCACGAGGAGTAACCGGCGTACGTAAGTAATGAGGTAAGCGTTTGTTGACTACCTAAGTAAAGCTCTGAATAAGAACAAACCACCATTCAGAAATAAATGGTATGTCATTATCTACTCAATAAAATGAGAAATTTCGTGTGATAATGGTCAGATAAATTTTGAACATGACTTAAACGTTATGTTCATGATTATTATTATTATTATTATTATTATCGTCATTATGAATACTGTTATTACTCTATAAGGTATATTTTATACTATTGAGGTTATTCAGAATTAAATTTGGATCCGAGTTTGTCGGTCGATCGGGTACGTCTGCATTGACTGTATCAACAAATTGATGACTTGCATTAACATGCGATCAAAAGAGGGAATGCTGCAATTAATGTTCTACCCTAAGATAAAGCTATTCGATTCAAGTAGTCCTTGTTGTTCGCATTATAATCAAGTAAACAATATTAAAGGATTCTGTTATGTAATGTAGCAATTAAAGTATATTCGGAACAAAAGAGGATAAACTGCAATTCCCACGACACGAAGTAAGAAGACCACGCCCGTTACACGTGATAAATTACTAACCTCAAAACTCGACGGCCACGCTAGTCGAACATACACACATCTAAGTACATTGATTGTATACCCTATTCCGATTATTAATTAGGATGAAATCACATGCCAGAAAAGTACACAGAGTTATAATATACCAAATGAACATATCATACTGAGCACATAGTTCAGATGAATTTCTAATACAAGAATACTGTATCTTGAATAAACATCTCACCCATTCAAATAAATCAATCTCATATCGCATAAATTATTCACAGCGGTAACCATAGATGAACACCACATTGAAAAGTCATCATGGAAGTACTGTTAACCGTCAATTACAATGAGTAGAGGAATGTAATTTTGCCTTTCTATCTTTTTATATCATTTTCAATAGGCTAATTCAAATCAATCGGATATTCTTCAAACTACTCAAAGTCAACTGGTAAGTGTAATGAAATACGACTTGTAAAACCTCATTATATTAAAACTGGAGAAATATCTTGTAGGTTTTTCATCTTCAATTAACCGAAAGTTGCATGTTTACCAAAGCCTATTGAAGGTCAAATCACCTTGGTAATAACATCTGAGACACGGTCGGTCATTCGGTCACGTCTAACTACGGAAAATCTAAAATAGACTTTTGCTGATGGATTGAACAAGAAAACAGTGTGCAGATAAAATTAGGTTGCTAAGTTCGACTATAGTTGATGAAAACATTCGATTATTTTGTTCCTCAATATGATGATAAACAGAGGAGTATTGGATGTGGAAAGATGATCGCTCACAGTGGCAGTTAAAATCTCAATCTGCATTACAATTTGAACGATTAATAACAGTTAAATTATATTTAAAATAGTTTGTGAATTTTCACGTTGATATGTATCACAGTGCATTGTATGTTAAGAGCGGAACTTATTTTCTTGTTTCTTTACTTAAAATTTAGGATATTGGAAAGATTTTAACATTCCCCATAGATCATTGGCGCATTTTGTTAATACTCTTTGGAGTTTCTTTGATAAATAACCAAATCGTAGCAGTGTTGAAGATTTGTTTCAAGTTTACTCTTAAAAAATGGTGCTTATCTAAACGGAAAACACTTCGTCAGGCTGGTGAATGGGCAGTTGTCACTGGTGCATCGTCAGGTATTGGTCAAGCGTATGCAGAAGAACTGGCCACAGAAGGTCTCAATATCATGCTTATCAGTAATGATGAAGAACAACTATCAGTCGTTGCTAATCAAATCGCAAATACCTACAATGTTCAAACACGAATTGTGGTTGCAGATTTTACTAAAGTAATATCCATTCTCAATGAATCTGTTAATCATATTATTTTGAAATCATTGTCATTGACTTAAGTAATCAGTTCGATTTGTCACTCAGTAGTGTTTGAATAGTTTGACAGGAGTTGTGCATCACTAATCGCCTTGTTCATAAATTGATAGATTGTCAGTCGAGTTATTACTGACACTTGAGTCATGTGGTCATGTCAAAATGATCATCAATGATAACATGCATTTGAATGTAGAAATGTGATTGAAAACATTCTTTTCACGAAAAGCATTTCTGTGATTCACGTGCATGAAATATATCAGCTTCATATCAAAAACATTTCATCAATATTCCACAACTGTTTAGTAAATCTCAAAAACACCATTAGATCGAGGCGAGTAAATGTATGTATGTATGCATCTGTGTGTGTGTGTGCGGTTCTACATTGCCATACAATCTTTCTAGTACTGTGCTCATATTGGACTTACAAATGATTGTGAGGTTCTTTATTTGCAGTGTCAATGTTGTTCTGTTTTCTCCAGTCGATGATGTGGAACGGTGATTAGTCACCGAGTGTCTGTTTTGCGTCGAGGATTGTGAAGAAACGAGAAATTTCTATATTGTAGACAACTGCTTACACAGAAATGGTGAATTTCAGTACATAGTTTATGATATACATTTGCAAACACGTAGATAGACAATGAACATTTCACTGTTACCAACAATTTTATCAAAGGCATTCACACACGATGCACCCAAACTGAAAAACACTGATTGGATTTTAGTCACGAATATTAGAAACCGAAATACACAGAAACTTATCATCAAAATATGCTATACTATTTGGACGAATAGCAAGATATTCAGTCTCGCCCACTCAATGTACATCGCGTCAGCTATTGAGAAACAAAGTAGAGAACTTGTCTGTGGTGTTTGAATTAACTAATGATTCTTTTGTACTTGTTGAATGCTCGATTTCGAATTCTAAATACAGTACATTCGTTGTGCCTGTGTCTTCTTAATTCAATTGCGTTAATCCTGGGATTCCTAATTCATACTATAATTAGAATACTATATTGGCGTCGCGATGGAGCCTGCAATGGAAAAGTTAGATATTCATTCAACTTCAGAAGCTTTTGAAGATTACTTTGAAAGGTTCGAAATCTGGGCTATGACCAAGGAAGATGATGAGGATGTTAATATTGTGGCACACTTCCTCACATTCATTGGAAAAGAAGCATACAGTTTATTAAGAACTCTGGCTATGCCGGAAAAACCCATTTCGCTTTCTTATACAGCTCTCAAGGATCTACTGCTAGACTATGCTCAGTATACAAATTTCAAATGTCGTAAAGGAGGAAGATTTCGTAAAATGATTCATGAGGATATAAAAAAGTCCACTACATTACTACGTCATCTCAACCTAGTGCATACTCAGGGTTATGCAGACAATTCATTGAATTTGGATGCAGTTCACGAGGATGGGGACAAGTTTGGTCAGTGTTTGTCCTGTTGCAAGTTCCACTCTTCTAATTCATGTAAATTTCATAATTCTAAATGCTTCAAATGTCGTGATATTGGACAAGTTCAGTCAGTTTGTAATGCTAATGTTCATCTTACTGCAATTAATATTAAGTCTTGTAATTCTGATTCTACTGAGTCGAGTATTCATGATAATCATTTATCTTTATCAACGATTTCAAAAGACAGTGCAGAGTCATATGGCAGTTCAGAGTTAAATGAAATCCAGAATTCTTGTGAGACAACATTTCCTAATCAACCGATTTATCAGAATTCTCATGCTATTGTACCAAGTATGACTTTTCCTAATGATTCACATATTTCTAATGAAATTACTTGCAATTCTGAGGAAAATATGTTAAATGAACCTAATCATGATCGAAAACCTGATGTGGTTTGGATAGATGCTGATTTTTCTAACGATCCTACGCTCTGCAATGACAGTCCTGATGAATTTCATGAGAATATTTCAGAAGAATCAAATCCTGATGTCATATCATATATTACCTATCCTCATAATGTATTTGATCTTCGAGAAAAACCTGCCCAATGCGAAGCACGAGTACTAAGTGACCTCGAGTTTTATTATATTTCGGATGATTTCATATCAACTGCTGTTTACTCTTATCACAAAAACAGTTCTAATGTTTACTCTAAACAATGTGAGATATATGTTTTAAATGAAGCCACATTATTCATAACTTGGGAGTATAAAGATCCAACATTATTTCGTGGGGGGGGATAGTGTTGAAAAATCTATGGTTCGAATTCTAGATATTATTGATTTCATTACAAAACCGACATGCTGGTTGTATACAATTCCAGGTGAGTCTGTTCCGATTTCGTTTGTTAATTCCAATACTAATGAGCACTTTCTAGATACTACAAAGTTTTTATCTTATACAATGTCGGACAGACTCAGGATGAACTTAACAAGAAGACGTACAACCGATTACCAACACTTATACTTCTATTTAAGCTGTGGCGGATGTGGTGTTTGAATTAACTAATGATTCTTTTGTACTTGTTGAATGCTCGATTTCGAATTCTAAATACAGTACATTCGTTGTGCCTGTGTCTTCTTAATTCAATTGCGTTAATCCTGGGATTCCTAATTCATACTATAATTAGAATACTATATTGTCTCAGAGTCATCTACAATTCACAATCCAAACACATGAGAATAAATTGACATTTTTGAAATTCGATCAAATATTCAAACACTTAAACACTTAGGAAACATTCGAATGATCAACTTCCACCAATCTTGTGTTCTCTTCTGTTTAAAATGATGTTTATGAAATAATAAGACCTGCTGTTGACCAACTGTCCACAATTGCTTGTCTAGTTAACAATGTTGGTATGTTGTTACCCTTCGAGTTGTTTGCTGGAGAAGTTGATTCACCGAATGAAGAATCAATTAGAAATATCATTCATTGTAACATTTTGTCTACAGTAACAATGACAAACATCATTCTGCCGAAAATGTTAACACAGAAAGGACCAAATCCTGGTATCATAAACATTGGATCTTATTCCGGTTTGAAAGTGTATCCGCATGCTACATTGTACTCTTCAACCAAAGCATCTATTATTCAATTTTCCAGATGTTTGGCTGCAGAAAAGTATCAAAAGAATGTAATTATACAAACGATTTGTCCATTATGTGTATCTACAAATATGACCAATTTTATGAAAACCACATATTTCATACCAAATGCTAAAGTCTTTGCTAAAAGTGCATTGGATATGTTTGGTGTTGAACAACAAACTACTGGTTATTTTCGACATGATTTACAAGCATATCTTTACGATTTGTTACCGGCAATAATTTCTAAACAACTCATGAAACTAAAAGCCAATTCACAACGAAATAAAGCTTGAAATATTTACCTAAAATCTGCAAATGATCTTATTATTCTGTGAGAATCTGTTGCCCATCATCATCATCATCATCTCAATATCTAATCCATTTCAAACTAAACAGTAATTGATTTAGCATCTTAGTTTCTTTTGTTCTAAATTGTAAAACACGTATTTATTTGACAATATATTTAGTTCAATTAGTCAGCATGGTATTCTTAAACTGTAATACTAGTTACATCGTAAAATATGAATAAAGTTTATAAACCTATGTTTAGAACTTCTCAACTTCTGCTTTTATTCCTTATGCCTGATTGAGATTCCGGGATTGCAGATTCTAATAACTGTATATTCCAACAAGTTATTTGTGTTCTTCCGTTTGTTTTAACACATCACTATATCTGTATATCAGTTAACCCTATTCATGTGTATTCATGAAACGTTTACAACCTTTCGCTGTACAAGTTATAAAAAAGCCCAGAGCTAACGATGTCTCCACGATCATGGTTGCTGGCAAAACGCGGTAAGAAGAATATACATTATTCACATCTTGATTCGTCAAATGCTAAATTCTAACTAACGACCATTCAATATTTATCGTCAGAATCGACCAAGAAACGTGTTGAAATATTTTGTGCTGAGAATTCCATATTGTTTCAAGAATATATTACTGAATAAATCTAATAATAATAGCGTCAACAATTCAAGTTTCTCTCGAGAGAAACTGAACCGATCGGTTCAGATTAGGTCAATTATAAACAAAAATATCTTAATAAAACACCAGTCTAAGTGTTGATTACACATTCGCAGATGTTTATTATATAAAGTGAAACGCAGATCTACAGAGACAGATATTCATTCGTGAATTCCTTGATACTTATCAAAAACAGTCAAACACTGATAGATTTTTAACTAACAATACATATGGTTTAATCACGTTATGGCACAATTTCGACATCTTTTATGTCTTGAATAAGCTTCGCGATTATTATACAACCTAACGATAGGTTTCACATGTTCTAATTGCAACACACGACCAACTGAGGTTCAGCGACTTCAGGGTTGATACCTATTGTATATTTATATGCTGCTGAATGATTGTTATGCAATATCACAAAAGGAACAACCTTATAAATATAAAACCATTACGTGGTAACTGAATACCTAAAACGTATTGTGTTTATCGCAAGTCTAGTGTTTGACTTCACATGGCTTTGTATTTGCTCAATACTTAGTGGTATTTGAAGATATTGAGGTTAAACGTTAATATAATGCCGGAATAAACAGACTCATGATGGTATCTCTTCCATTTTTGCACAAATTTCAAAATGTAATTATAGTAGGCTTGTAGCAGAAGAAGAGCTTATGAAAACGCAACCATTTTTTAATCTGAGAAAAGTTTGACTAATCAAGATGTGTCTTTTTGTGGTGTTTGAATTAACTAATGATTCTTTTGTACTTGTGGAATGCTCGATTTCGAATTCTAAATACAATACATTCGTTTGTGCCTGTGTCTTCTTAATTCAATTGCGTTAATCCTGGAATTCCTAGTTCATACGAGTATTCGAATACTATATTGGCGTCGCGATGGAGCCTGCAATGGAAAAGTTAGATATTCATTCAACTTCAGAAGCTTTTGAAGATTACTTTGAAAGGTTCGAAATCTGGGCTATGACCAAGGAAGATGATGAGGATGTTAATATTGTGGCACACTTCCTCACATTCATTGGAAAAGAAGCATACAGCTTATTAAGAACTCTGGCTATGCCGGAAAAACCCACTTCGCTTTCTTATACAGCTCTCAAGGATCTACTGCTAGACTATGCTCAGTATACAAATTTCAAATGTCGTAAAGGAGGAAGATTTCGTAAAATGATTCATGAGGATATAAAAAAGTCCACTACATTACTACGTCATCTCAACCTAGTGCATACTCAAGGTTATGCAGACAATTCATTGAATTTGGATGCAGTTCACGAGGATGGGGACAAGTTTGGTCAGTGTTTGTCCTGTTGCAAGTTCCACTCTTCTAATTCATGTAAATTTCATAATTTTAAATGCTTCAAATGTCGTGATATTGGACAAGTTCAGTCAGTTTGTAATGCTAATGTTCATCTTACTGCAATTAATATTAAGTCTTGTAATTCTGATTCTACTGAGTCGAGTATTCATGATAATCATTTATCTTTATCAACGATTTCAAAAGACAGTGCAGAGTCATATGGCAGTTCAGAGTTAAATGAAATCCAGAATTCTTGTGAGACAACATTTCCTAATCAACCGATTTATCAGAATTCTCATGCTATTGTACCAAGTATGACTTTTCCTAATGATTCACATATTTCTAATGAAATTACTTGCAATTCTGAGGAAAATATGTTAAATGAACCTAATCATGATCGAAAACCTGATGTGGTTTGGATAGATGCTGATTTTTCTAACGATTCTACGCTCTGCAATGACAGTCCTGATGAATTTCATGAGAATATTTCAGAAGAATCAAATCCTGATGTCATATCATATATTACCTATCCTCATAATGTATTTGATCTTCGTGAAAAACCTGCCCAATGCGAAGCACGAGTACTAAGTGACCTCGAGTTTTATTATATTTCGGATGATTTCATATCAACTGCTGTTTACTCTTATCACAAAAACAGTTCTAATGTTTACTCTAAACAATTTGAGATATATGTTTTAAATGAAGCCACATTATTCATAACTTGGGAGTATAAAGATCCAACATTATTTCGTGGGGGGGGGATAGTGTTGAAAAATCTATGGTTCGAATTCTAGATATTAATGATTTCATTACAAAACCGACATGCTGGTTGTATACAATTCCAGGTGAGTCTGTTCCGATTTCGTTTGTTAATTCCAATACTAATGAGCACTTTCTAGATACTACAAAGTTTTTATCTTATACAATGTCGGACAGACTCAGGATGAACTTAACAAGAAGACGTACAACCGATTACAAACACTTATACTTCTATTTAAGCTGTGGCGGATGTGGTGTTTGAATTAACTAATGATTCTTTTGTACTTGTGGAATGCTTGATTTCGAATTCTAAATACAATACATTCGTTTGTGCCTGTGTCTTCTTAATTCAATTGCGTTAATCCTGGAATTCCTAGTTCATACGAGTATTCGAATACTATACTTTTGTTTACACTCACAATATATCCGGGGTGCTTTTGGAGTTTCTCACGATCTTCCATTTAGTATAACTTCCATGGAATAGACAACTCACTTCATACCTTTGAAAACTTATAGGTTTTCTATAAAGTTTAGTTAATTTATTCAAAATGAATAGTGACCCATAATTTACTAAAGAATCAACAAACGATTTAGTTGTATTGTGGTGTGAGCTACTTAGATCCACAGATTCGACATCTTGATGGCGAGAAGAAGAAAGTGGCATGGCGGGCAGAACCACTGCAAGGACGGTTTCTTTAAAAGGAAGACAAGTGTGGTGTGAGCTACTTAGATCCACATCAGTAATATGTAACGATGGTCAGGAATAGAATGTATTTCAGTAAAAGATTGAGAAGGAAAGAACTGAAACGGAAGGCCATTGGTATGAAAATGTAGGAACAATGAAGACTGAGACGATGGACTGATATTTGAAAAACGAACAGCCAAGTTTAAAACAATGGATCGATATTTTACAAATGAAGTATTTGCTGTATGTTTCCTAAATTTTAGTGAAATATTCTGTAATTTCGTGTCGAAATACTTTTGATTGCCCCCACTCATGTCTTTATTTACTACAGTATGAATATGATTCCTCATCAGACAGCTTTTGTTTTACACAGAAACAGTCAACTTCTAGAGTTAAAAAGCTCATCTCATTCACACTGTATTAAGAATTGTTTTCTAACTAACCACTTTGGAAACATGGTTCATAGTCAGAAATATAACTACAGGTTAGGTATGACTATTTGGAAGATATTTAACATAAATGATTGTTTTTTAAAGGCAACGCATCTATCAGTGTAAGCATAACAAGAATCTTCAATGACATCAGAATACCATTCAATGCATTAAGCCTGAAAATTAAGTTCTGGAGTTGATATTTGTTTACTAACAACTCAGCGAACAAACTATCATACTTACACTACTGAGTGAGTATCCAACAAATCGCCTGTTAGTGTGGAGACAAATGAATTAGTCATTCTCTATATATTTTGTTTAAGAATGGTGTATCATAGTCCAAAGATGAAATCTAAATTTGAGTGTTTATGTTTTCACCATCAAGCACTGAATGGCTAAAAGCATACCACGTCCAGCTTTTCTGTCATGCTATTGATTTTTCAAAATATTATCTGACTGAAGTGATTGTCTACTAGTACAATGATTGCCTATTAATTGAACAGAACTAGTAGCGAATACTCGTTAGTTTTTTTGGAAGTGAAAATTCCCATTTTGCCATTTGGTAAATAAAGAAGGAACGAATTGAGCGAAGAAATTTCTTTTCAATTAGTTTTTCATCATGGCTCTACACTAATATATATACGTTTTACAATAATAATATAATACTCATCGAGTGGATACGTTACGTAATAATTACATAATGACATTTAAATTAACATTCAGTAATTGGAAGAGAGAGGATTATTAATATTCAAAGTAATCAAGAAGTTGCGTAATATAAGAAACAAAGAAGTAATAGAATTTTACCGGATGGTCAATAGGATAGTAGTTACGTAAGAATCAAGAGATGAATGTTGAGAAGTTATAAGGCTCAAAAGCGATAGAAACGAAATTACAAAAATTTTAAAGTTAAAATAAAAATGGAAGAAGTATGAAAAATAGTTCTTCTGACGGAAATGTTATACTGAAGGCCAGGGTAGAGAAAGTGGTTGTACGAATTTCCTTTGGATGCAAAGGTCAGGTTTGTGGACATGGGTTGCGATGGCTTCCGCAATGTGCAAAAGGCGCACTCGTAAACCATGTGGTAGATCTGATGGAATATTATAGATAACCTTAAAAGCTTTATTCACTTCGACTTGATGACCTGTGTCAACCAAGTGAGAGAGAATAGAACTTTTAATCCCGTTCACCTGTCCTTTGCTTAGCCATGTTGGATGATATTCTGTAATGCGGTGACGGACCTGTCGAATTGTACGCCCTATGTAACTGGCTCCACAGGAGCAGTTGAAACGATAGATACACATAGATTTGGCGAATTCTGGCAGTCTG